CCCCAAAACCCCAAAACCCCAAAACCCCAAAACCCCAAAACCCCAAAACCCCAGCAGGAGATTATTTGATTGAAAATAAAATTTAATTTTTGCTTCGCTTGATCTACAAGTGTTGTAATTCCTAAAGATGAGAGAATGATGCTTACTCCTTCTCCTCCGAGACTTTCTGGGATATATTCTATATCCATATCTTCTTCAAGGGAGTCTGGAAGATCTTTGTTTTCAATAAAATGAACCTTTTTGAGCTGCTTTTCACGGAGCATGCTCTTGGCTACTTTCCATCCCATTGATAAAATCCAGTTAGGATGAACAAGGATATTCTTGTGGGTGGATTGAGGGAATATATTAGATATTTCAGGGTTTAGAGTTTTAAACATTCCTAATGCAAGGTTACTTAACCCTGAGCCTTCAAAATCAATGATAGTAATAGATTTATCCACGTATGGAGAAAATCTAGCTCTTGTCATTTTCATCTATTTGAATTAGCTTAAAAGAATACCTGATAAAGAAGGTATAATCTTGATGTACCGATGTCATTGAACACGCCTTTGTCAACATTTGAAACTTTTATAAGGACTACTGGCCTTCCTTGTCTGTCAAAACCAGCAAAGTTATGGACTCCAAGGTCAAATATTTTCTTTGATTTGCCTTTAGCTTGCTCAATAATTCCTTCCTTCGTGAGATTTTCGTAATCATATTTCTCGATGTACTCGAAATACTCAAGAATTTTATTTATACGAATAATCTGGATCTTTAAAGTCTCTTCTGGCTAAGAATCTTAAGCAGAGGTTATCCTCAACATCTCTTCCAAGATGAGTGGTTAATCTATTCCTGAAATCTTCATAAACTTTCAATTCTTCAGGAGTGCATCGTTCAGGGATCCATTTAGTCCATTCGCCATCTCTATAGCACTTTTTAACGAACTCTTCTCGAGTCTCCTGGCTTTGGGCGCTCTTCTTTTCCTCTTCCAGAGTTGAAGGGGTACACATCTTTTCATCTCTGTTTGAGTCCTTAGTTTTCCTATCAATTTTGGAAGGTCTTGAGGGTGGAATGCCAATATCTGAGTTTAAGTCAAAGGTCTTCTCACTAACATCATCTTCTTCATAAATAATGCTATCTTCTTCACAGACAAGCTGGCTGATTTTCTTGGTTAGCTGGAGATTGCGGATGCTTACAGTCTGCCTCTTGGGAGAAGACCGGATTCTGACTTCCTCCTCAATATTTACTTTCACTTGTTCTGATTTGATTTCAGGTTTAGTTTCTATAAGTAATGAGATTAAGTTGTTAGGACTAGAAAACCTACCTAGAGCAACCTTCACCTTCTTCTTCTCGGCAGTTGCCAACTGAGAGTAAGCTTTAAGGTTGGTGAATGATTGGATGATCTGGTTTAGTATAAATTGGTTCAACGTATTACAGTCCACACCAGAGCCGTTTAGCTCAGCTTGGATATTTACGAAGAGAAGATCGGTTTCTTTGAAGGATTCCAGCTCAATCTTCACCTTTAGTGGTGGGATTACTCTGTTCATCGTGTTACACTTAGGAGGAAGGATTTTCAATAAAAATAAAGCAGACTGACTATGATTCAGTTGGTTATCCCCATTAATCATATTTCTTTCAAGAATGAAATCAAATGGTAACTTCACCTTCTCCTTTATATAAGTAGAAAGCTTCTCTTGAAGGAATGCTGGGAGATAATTATCAGCCACTGAGTTTAGGATATCTATCTTCCCTCTGCAAACGATCGCTATATTAAATATTAACAGTTTACACAGGCAGTTATGAGAATTTTGTAAATACCTACCCTCTTTAGTGCTAGGAAGCTCAAAATTGTTTCCGTTACTGATTCTAAAAACCTCAGTAGCCTCTGTAATAGGCTGTAGCCATTTTGGATATGCCTCAATATCGCTTAAAATATCATAAACCTTCTCCAAAGATGTTTGAGGACGAGCATTTATATCATTCATGGGAACATTATTGATGATAAAGTAGCAGAAAGACCTGTTATGGTAAACTTCATTGACCATTTTGGGGAGCTTTGGAGATCAGAGATGCTTTTAAAGATCCTGACTCCATTCTTAAGAGCCCAGAAGGAGATATCCTAGATAAAGATTAGCGTTAAACTTGGTACAACTTAATAGGTAGAGATTTTCTAACGAATTTTCGGAAAACATTAAACTCTTTAACCCAAACCTGCCAGGCAACTTGGAAGACAAACTAAGATTCGTATATACGACCATTATAAAAGTTTATCCTATATGTATTTTACCTCCTCCCCTGGCTTCTTTGCAACAATGGCTGGATTATATTTCTTCATTTTTAAAAATCTAGATGGTTTCATTGTAAATTTTCTAAATGGGGTTTTGGGGTTTTGGGGTTTTGGGGTTTTGGGG